CACCTTGCTGTTCCATCGCCTTCCTTCCCAACGTGGGAACTGAGTTAACTGAATACAATTGTCAGAGTGTGTTTAGTCTTGCTCTGCCACAGCCCCTCGGAACCCCGGTTCAGGACAGGATGTCTACTTCCTTTGGGTCACCGTACCTTCTCGGTGGGACCAAACTGCTGCTCCACATAGCGCAAGGTGGCCCCTGCGTCGCGGCTCTGGCAACACACGTGGAGGTTGGCTCCTGTTCCACAATCGAAAAAGATCAGTGGGACGGGGGTAGGTGCCAAGGGAGCCCAATCAATGGGTTTGGGTCTATTTTCCTTCAGCCAGTTTCTCGAACTGGAAGGACCCTATTTTAATGCAAACCAGATGTGCAAAGCAAGTGTGAAAGGGCTGTATCTGACCTTTTGCGACTGTATCAGTCTTTGGCTGTCCCCTTGAGGTGAGGATCCCTAGAAATCGTGAGGTTTGTTGCTTCCAGACAATGAACAAAAAGAACCTGCGAGTGAAAGGGAACTTCCTTTAGCGTACAAAGGAACAGGAAAGTCTTTCGGCTTCAAGGGCCTAGGGTATATACTGCATTTGGGTTCCGCTCCAAACAGATGTTCGACTACAAACAGCCCCCCGCAGTCTGACATCTCCTGGGCCCCGGTCCTCCCATAATTCACCTCCGGCACTCTTAGTCAGGTTCTCTATGTCCTGATTGTTCAAGGTCTCTGCAACTATACACGCAAGATTCCAGCTTCCACTCCATCCCATGTACGTGCGACCCTTCCAAATCCCAAATTGCCCACCCAGTCATAGCCATCTTTGCTTTGATTTGCTTGAGGAACCAAAGGAAAACACACTTTTCCAGAAGGGACATTACCATACATTACCCCATAGAGAAAATACAATGACCCTGAGAAGGTGATTGGAGACACTGCTGTGATCTGCTGTGTAGGTTTGGAGGGTCCAAGTACCTTCTGAGAAGCTACTTGGATTCGTAGGGTGAATGGTCAATCAGGGCCCCATTGTCTTTCCCTGCGGCTTCTGCCTAGCAAGCCGATCCCCGCCAAACAACCGCCACAGCAGGTACAAGCCTGGTGCCGGTGAAAGCATTTCACCAGAAGGACGATGCGAGGGAAACGGTGCCGAAGCTCCAAAGGGTCCGGTGAAGAGGTCGGCGGACCCGGCACAACGAGTTGAGGAGGAAAAGGAGGGCACCCTGTATGACAAGATGCTGTTGGATGCACCAACCACCCGACTGCTTGGTACCTCAGAAGTACTGGGGCCCCAGTCCAGTCGGACCGCTTCGTTAGGGTGAAGGGTATATATTGATGTCATATTCGTTTGGTTACGAACAGGAGGCTCCAGGTATGTGTTTGTTTAGTAACTTTAGTAAAGAACACTGGAATAATGGTCATTCAGTGCTGTTCTGCGACTCAGACCGCTCCTCAGACCGCTCCTCAGACCGCTGCTCGGCACGTCATCATTTCTTTGGGCTCTCTCTCCCAACACAGGTTGAAGAACCCGAACTAGGCTATCCCAGTTCGGTACCCCAGGTGACGGGTCCGAACGTTCAGGTCCTTCCGTGGTCAACCGGTCGCGGTGGACCGACGACTCAGGACGGCAACCGAGCCGGTCGGCGTGGACGATCTGACGAAGACCGGTCGAGGTCCGCGTACTCTGCGGCGATGAGTTGCTTGAAAACAAAGAAACAACACACAAAGACAACACCAAAACCGATGATAATGCTACTTGATTCCACACTGATGTCTGAAGAGAATCAGATTTCTCTGGAACTGAAGCTTACTAACAAAAGATCAAACATATTGAAGAAATGCTCGAATATCAGACCCCAAACCAACCCCAGTGAAAGGCAGGCCGTGTTGTTTCCTTTCTTGGATTTGCTGTCCCGCTGGGACTTTGTTCCACAGAAGAGGAGTTACTTCGAAACCTGAGTTTCCTTTCGCTGGCAAAAGTCGTTAATTATATACGGATGGTCACAGAATCCATTCTTGTCTTGCTAGCTGCCAGCAGAGGTTGAAGCACCCTATAGACTATCCTATAGGTACCCCTGTAGGGTCCTAGTTCAGGTCACTTACCCTCTGTAGGTGGTGGGCGAAAAATCGACGGTCGATGACGGTCGATGCTCTCAGCAGCTGACTACCGTTTCCTTCTGGTGAGTTCACCCGACGGACCGGTGAATATAGCATGAATGACCAATGTGACCCGAAGCACCCCGAAGCAGGTTATACGATGTGATAACGTAACCCAGACACTCCATGGATAGTTGCCATATATGCCGATGAGTTGGGGTGGTTTTGTTTGGGCCAATGTAGACAAACACAATGGCAGTCCCATTCGTCGTGTCTGGGTCAGACTGTCCGAAGGGGCCGAATCGACCGACATCGGTGCGCGGATCGGCGCGGAGGGGTTTCTGGGCACCGGATGGCACCAACGGGATGAACGGAACGGAAGGAGAAGAGACATGAATAGACGACAACACTCCCGAAAACTCACCTGGAACATGGCATGGACCTTTGGAAGACGATGTTCCTCCAACCCAGGTGGGTCTCTTCCAGTGTATATACCTGGCTTTTCGCTCGCTCGTTCCGGGCGAGGGAAACTCCTGATTTGATACATTGGTCCCACAACTTGCCGCGGGCATCCTGACCACATCCCTTTATACAATACAGTTGTCACAGTAGCGCTGGTTGTGGGGCAGCAGAAAAGGACTGATTCAGAATGCATGCACCAGTATCAGTACCCAACACACGAGGACGGTGGCATCATTTGTTTTGCTCATCTCTCACACTGCGGTCAACCAAAACCCCTGATCTCCCTGCAAAAAACACTCAAAACACATCTGCTTGGTGGTTTCAACTCACTTGAACCATCTTTTTGTCAGTGGGTTCAATAATCCCAAGTATACAGGTTAACATTAGAGTCCTGATGATATAAGAACCCGACTGGGTCCTCGATGACACGGGGGAAAAGGACCAGGACCTTCCTTCTATAATATACCGAAGGTCAAGGGGTGAAAAGGACCTGATCATGAACCAAAGCCTTCTCATTGGAGGTTTGGGTCTGGATTCTTGAGCCCTATAGGATTCCAAGCACCAGGTCGTCTTAATACTCAGTCCACCTCCAGGTCAGTCAAGGTCTTGATTGATTTCAGTCATGGTCTTGGAAGGCTACATGAGGGATATCTGATTCGTGAAACCAGGACCTCGAATCGTCATGGAGCTTTCACCCGGACAGCCCGCTGTGCTTCCGAGCGGACGTCATGGCGAGAGCTTCGCGGAGAGTGCCACGTGGCTCGATCCGGGAATGGGCGGATGGGCTTTAGGTGAGGGGAGAGTCGATAGGTATGTGCACTTTGGACGCTCGATAGGACTAGAAAATGGGAGCAGCAGGTCACCGGATAGGCGGCATAGGACTCAAAGACATGAGAGGAGTTGATTCCAAGTTGAGATCGATAAGTCGTCCTGTGTCTGCTGCAGGGACTTCCAGGATCTTCGCGTACTTTTGAGGGCCTTTGAGGCTGGAGACCTCCGATTTTTGGTACTTTGTGAGGAGTTTGTGGCAGGCGCGCTCTGATTTGATGTATGATGATGTCTATCGCATGCGCGGCTTAATTTGTGTACTTTCATGCCTGTGCTGAATGATGTGCGCCCTCTCTGTCTCTCTCTCTCTCTCTCTGTCTATGTGTGAGTTCTCAGAGTTCTCATATGTGTGCTGTTAGGTTCTCGTGCTGTTAGGTTCTTGTGGCCGGGGTCTGTCCCGGGAGAGTTGTTTTTTTTGTCGCGGGTCGGTTAGTTTCACCCATGCCAACCTGCCAAACATCATCAACCGACTAGGCAGCCACCTTGTCTTTGGAACCCCTCATGTTTTCGCGGCATTTTGCCCTTGGAGAATGGCAGGCTACTAATGGGTAGCTCCCAGGTGCTGACTTGATCAACTACTTGACTGCGTTCCATCGGGGAACCCCCGGTGAAGCCGGAAACACAGCTGCAAGCCGGACAGGACGTCCGCGCGCGCATGGGCGAATTCTTGTTGTTCCGAACCAGGGGCAAATCAAAACGGTTTTTATACAGCTCCGAATGATATAGAGTCTTGATTGTTCAACCCTCCCTATATGAGAAGGCTTTGCAATCCAAATGGGTGGGATTCTCATGAATTCAACCAAATATTGATTTGCTCTGTGCGTTTGGTGATCTACTTGGTTCATGGTAGAGTCGGATACCTCGAGAAAACGCTGGTTGACCTAGCTAGTGCCCATCAATTCGGGATCCAATGGTGGACAACCGGAGGTCACAGCTCCACCTGGTGGGAGGTCACAGCTCCCAGAAACCCGCGGAGGTTTTTCTATGGAATTTAAGTTATATTTCACCTTCCCATATGAATGAGGTTTTTCAAACGGGTGTTATTTTATGAATTCAAGAGTCGACAGTCAAAAGGCCCAGGATGCACCGGACAAAGGCCATGCAAAGTTAGCAACTCGGCAGAACCGTGAAGCGAAGCAGCACCATCCAGGAACAAACAAATTCAACCCAACAAATCCAGTATAAAAAAAATTGCATGAGTTCGCTCAATACACTCGATCCAACGTTTCTAGTGATATGGGCGCGTCTCAAACAAAGAGAACCCCAACCAATAAATCAAAGTGATCTGATCTACACTTTTGCCATTACCATGCATCTATTTAGAGTTCCCTTTTTTTGACACTCACATGGGAAAGCTGCAGGGGATAGGGTTATACAGGGACCCCGTGGCTAGGGCTGATCAAAGGCACAGGATCATGACACATGACTCTGCGACGCCCAGTCAACATACTCTGGTTGGAATTGGTAGCTTGAGCTCCTTTGAACAACATTAGTCAAATTGGGCGTGTATTTGTCCCAATGCAACATAAAAAAACCCTGAAACCACCACCCATGCAGCTATATCCAGCTCATCCAGCTCTGAGTCAACTCTTCAGGACTCATTGTACAACCCATCCCCGCGTGCGACCCAAAGCCGTCCTCTCGAGGTGCTCTGCAGCCTCAAAAGAGATGAAGAAGTTGGAGCCATTCGTGTTTGGCCCATCATTGGCCATGCACAGGAGGCCTCCGAAGCAGTGAGCAGCATAGAAGAACTGGTCCAGAGAAAGCAAGAAAATCTGACACACTTGCCAGCAGCTTGGTGCTTGGGTTGAGTTGTATACAGGCGGACTTAGTAGTCATTTCCCAATGCACCATGTGCACATCGTCCCCACCTGTCAGGTGAGGGTTGTTGGATTTTGCCTTCCACCTCCTCCTCCTCCTCCTTCCACCTCCTCCTCCTCCTCCTCCGCCCCGTTCGCCTCCGCCGCCAGCTCCGGATGGCAGTGTTCTCGCCGGACGTCAACCGCAAGTGTAGGACCAGTGTAGGATGGCAGTGTTCCCCGCCAGACCTCAACCGCAAGCTCCCGATCGCACCGGGTGCTGGCGGACCTCAACCAACACACAACATCCCCACCCCTAGGGGGGGGGACCTGTCTAAATGTAAGCTACATTTTTTGCAATTTTGGGCTTAAAAAATGTAAGTTACATTTTCTTAGGGACACCTTAAAAAATGTAAGTTACATTTTTTTGAAAAAATGTAAGCTACATTTTTTGAGGTTCCGTTTTCTTGACGCCTTTCTGTGTTTTACCTTTTTCCTCTAGACCTTCTTCCTTTTCTTCCTGCCATTTTTAAGACTTCCAAGCCAGTGACAGAAGCATGCATGTAAAGTATGTTTTTATGGTTTCGTTATTGTTTTGGTATGATTTGCTATGTTTTCTCAAGCCTTTGGGCAACTCCAGAGCTTGACCTTTTGGTAGCCTTTCCAGGTGGCTTTGGGGAACCTGCCTCCATCCTTCGGAAAAGGAAAGCCATACCAAAATCATATCAAAACTATATCAAAATCATAACAAAACCATAAGCGTTACACGTTTCTGATGGTTTTCTTATGACCCAGCCACCCTGGCCATCTCCCACCTCCACAACCCAACCTAGTTTCAAGCCCTTGAGCCATTCCAAGGCCTTTTGACCTTTTGGTAGCCTTTCCAGGTGGCTTTCAATTTTCCATATTGAATGTTTTTTCCCATATGCATCTTTAGTTCTGTAGATATGTGTATTTTCCATATGTTGCCTTTCAATGTCTAGGTGCATACCACTCTCCAAAAATGTAGCTTACATTTTTGGAGGTTCCGTTTTCTTAACGCCTTTCTGTGTTTTCCCCTTTTTCCTCTAGACCATTCTTCCTTCTCTTCCC